GAAGCATCGTCGCGCGCCCATTCGACCATGTCGACCCCGTGCTCTCGTGGCGCCCAAGTGACAGCTAGCGCGTTCAGACGCTCGGGTGAGATGGCGAATTCTGCCCTTCGACCGCCTCCTTGGCTGCTATACTGTTGAGCTGGTCGCAAAATCAATCGCAGAGTGGCCTCAAGGACATCGACATCAGGAGTCGCGAGCAGCACATTGAGGTGCTCGAAAGAGTTGTAGAGCTTGCGATTCGTGCAGTTCTCGAGGAGAAGCCTTGAGAATCGCAGCACCGAAACCAAAAGCCTTTTGCGGTTGGGTGTGAAGTCGTTGATCTGCAGATGAGACAAGTCGTAGTCGGCGCAGGTCTCTGCCAGAATGTCATCAAATCTGTTCAGTGTAGCGGTCCAGTAGTGGAGATCTCCGCGAGGCCAACACCACTCTGAGATGCCATCTAGGATCGGTGGGAGCTCGTCATCCGTGGCTGCAGAGATCTGCAATAGGAGGGTCTTGACGGCATCGTTCTGTGGGTATGAAGGATGTATGCAATGTCAGCAAATGTGCAGCTGGGTCCACCGAAAGGTGGGAATGACCGGAATGACTTTCGGTGTGTCGTCGACACTGTTTCGGGCATACTCACGGCTTCAGCGAGCCTCTTGGGTGCCTTGGTGATCTTCATAGTGGCCGAGCAGTGGCAACACCGACTTCACTGAATTGACAATCGCTCCAGTGCCGCTGAGCTGGGCGTGTGAGAGCAGTGTGAGAGCCCAGCGACACCGGTAGCGACAGATAGTGACGCAGACGAAAAGGCTGTTGAGAGCAATTCTCGACCAGGTTCTCTTATCGCCAGGTCACAGGAAAGGAATCAAGAAGATTCGTTGATGGAGTCGGTAATGAGAGCCGCTAGCGCCATTCGCTCGCGTGAGCAGGATCGAGGACAGTCCGGTCTTTGCTCCGCGCGCTGTCGACCTGTGACTGATGGCGATGGAACGAAGGCTGTGAGAGCCGTAGTCACGATGGTGAAGTGGTGTCAGATAGCACAGCTGTGGCACCTGGGCCACCAACGCACACCACTCGCTACAGCTACCTGTACACGCGCAGGCCGCCAAATTTGGGGATGAGGCGCTTCGATCGCGATCGACTCGGCGCGATTCGTTCCTCCCTCCACCAGGCTGACGCGTGTCGTATCGGCCGGCAAAGCGCTTCTCGGCAACGCGCAGGCACGAAGTACGAAGCGTGACGCTCTGATTGCAGCCTGCACGTCGCCCGCCCGCCTCTAGCTGGACTAGCGCTCGCTCCCCACACACTCTTGACTCCGACTCCTGACAAGTCACTCTTGTAGAGGACCTCATGGAGCACAGCGTTCGATACTCCGTCTCTCCAACACGTTTCTCACAATGGCGGGCAAAAAGCGTAAAGCATCGGGCGCCGAGGGTCGCAAAGAAGATGCCAAGCGACAAGCCACAGAGTCCGCCTCTGGAAGCACTCCAGCAACTGCTGGTCAGGCAAGCAAGAATGCCGCTGTCGGTGCGACGATGGTGGAGGCTAGTCAGGGAAGAGCCAACGTGAACTACGTTGCGAGGTTCTTTGACTACAAGGAGAGGCTGCACAAAGCCAATTCTGTGAGTAGTGAAAGTCGTCGGCCGAGGACATCGCTCCCAAGCCCGCTGGCTAGCTCGAACGACCTGACCTCGGCCTGCTTCCATCTCGTGACATCCTCTTCGCGCTCACTGCCTGATGTTATGGCACAGAAACGTGATGGCTATCACGATGCTCTACGGCGGTCCATGACGAAGCATTGCGACTTGCAAGAAGAGATAGAGTAAGCAAGCCTTCTCAATTGTCCAAGCAACCGACAAGTCCTTCCACTCGCTCACCCTCCGCTCTCATCTGTCCTAGTTACATCCTCGACGCAATTGCTACAGCGCGTCAAAAGAGGCTAGGAAGCTCGGCACAGGCAAAGCTGGAGCGCTCTGAGCGAGATCGGTCAAAGCTTGCCTCCGCACTGGGTCCAGCACCTCAGTCCACCTTGTCTCACTTGCTCGATGACCAGAAGCAGAAGCGGCGGGAGTGATCTGCGCAGCGCATGCTCTCGCTCTGCACCAGTAAGCGCTGTCAATGCTGCTCGTTGGGCTGTGACACCAGTCTTGGAGAGCACAAGGAGGCCGCCAACACGTCTCAATCTCTCGATGGCTAGTCCGCTTCAGGGCATCGGCCTATACCATGGCGACCCCAAGCCGGTTTCGAAGTGAGAGATGTCATGTGTCGCACCTCGTGTATTTGTACGAGAACCGATCCCAGATCCGAAATCATATTCCTCAGACGCACAATCTGTCATCGCGAATGGCACAGACGTTGGAGGTTTCGAAGTGAGAGATGCCATGTGTCGCACCTCGTGTATTTGTACGAGAACCCATCCCAGATCCGAAATCATATTCCTCAGACGCACAATGTGTCATCACCAATGGCACAGACGTTTGAGAGTGATGAGAGTTCTCAACGGAAGGTGCAACTCGTATTGCATTCGGAAGCTGACTCTACGGGCACCGGCAGAATACCCAATAGCGGGTAGATAGCACAGAGGGACTTGGTGAAAAAGCTGAAAGGACAGTCTAAGGCTACAATGGATATATGAAATCGGACATGTGGGGCGCGCAATGGTGAGTGAGGGCCTCAGCGCCACGACAAGATTTTCGAGTGATGATGAGTGAGCGAGCCATGGCAATCAGAGCAGAGCAGAGCAACAAGTGCGATGATTGTCAGCAGTGGTCTTCATAGAAGGAGCCACTAGACATTTCCAGTCCAGCGACGCCTGAAGCGTCGTATCCGGAAGTTCCCCTTCCTGCCGGCCAGCAGCGTTCAGCTCCCGGACTGCGCAAGTCTAGCGAGATCGATCGGCCTGCTCTGGCGCCTTTCGTCAAAGCTTGCCTCTCCTCCTGCGCAGTCGAAAGGTCGAGAGAGCCCGCGCGGCGCGCAAGCTTCCTTGTCGGCCGCGGGCCGTCAGAGTCGTCCGACGTCTGTAGAGACGCGAGCTTCGTCTTGAGTCGCTCGCTCAGGTCGTCCTCAGTAAACGCAGCTTGCTCCACGTCTGCTACGGGTGTTGTCGCACCTGTATCCACGCCCGAAGCATCAGCCGACGAGCTGCTGCGGCGCGAAGAGGCTGCAGATGAGCTAGATGGAGTCGATGCCCCCTGGAGTAGCTCATCTGCACCGTCAGTCGCGACTGGACTGCTGGTCTGAGCAGCGCCCTCGAGCACCGACGTAGAGGCAGATGGCCCAGCGCACGTCTCAACGCACGTCGTCTTGATCGGCGTAGGAGGCGCAGCAGTGGCCGATTTGCACGAGCTGGACGAGGTGGCGCCAGTCGAGTCTGACCGAGACGTGCTCGCAGAAGATGATGAGGAAGAATGCCCGGTGCTCGTCCGAGACGTGGGGGACCCAGGATCCGATTCGATCTCATCGCCAGTCTCTCTCCTCGGTGGCCGCTCGGTAGGTGCTTTGCGTCCAGGAGGCCTCTCCTCGCAGTCCTCCGAGCTTGCTACCGAGAATTTGGAGTCCGTGATGCTGTAGAACGAGTAGCCTTTCGGCCCGCCTCGATATGTGCCGATAATGTGATCGTCGTCCCCACCGTACTGCGAAGGTGGCAAAGCAGCAGGCATGCGAGATCAGCGTGCTGACCTCCCCGGACTCGCCTTCTCTTTCAATTACTCACAAGATTGACCGTGGGATACGCGTACACAGGTCTTCTTCCACCCCAAATCAAACCTCCCTCTTCCCAACCAATCTCGTCGGTGCGCAGGGGAACATACAGTGTCTTGTTGGAGAGATCCTGGTCCGGTGCGGGCTCAGACTTCCTAGGGCGGTCGGGTGGCGGGGTGAGTCGAATGCTCGGAATCACGAATCCATTACGAATTACCGGTCCTGCCGACTTGCTCGCTTGAGCTGAAGTGGACGCCATCTCGACGAGATCTGTGAGACTGTGGATCAGTGGCGAAGAGCTAGTGAACTACAACAGATGATGATCTGGTGGATGAGTACAGGAGCACGTTGCAGCCGGCACAGTGGCGGGAGCAGGATGCACAGCCTTTGCTTCGCTTATATCCAGAGTTGAGGCTCAGGCTTCTGTTGCTGCTGCGCACGCGCAACGAGTTTGTGGCTGCGTCAATGAGGACCCTCGGGTGAGATGGCGTTGATTGCAGGTTCAAGAGGAAACGCAATTTGTGTTGCTTGTGAAAACAGTTGCCGTTGCAAATGATTGGCAAGAGGCTGGGTGCTTGAGTGTCCAACCTCTCCACTCTAAGTATTGGTCGATGTAATGGTAGAGAATAGGCAGAGCTTGCTGGAGTTGATTTTGGAGAGCAGTAACCTTTTGGCACGGCACGATGGCGAGAAGAAAGCTGTCTTCCTCTAATAAGGATGGTTGAGTTTTCCACAAATGGTGTCGATGGGTGCTGTCGTGGTCAGCACGCGAGGTGCGGTCAAAGTCGAAGATGGGCAGTCGATGGGTGTCGAGTGTGCACGGATCTCGATGTGAGCAACCTTCGATTCATCAAGAACCGGGTGCAAAGCAATGGGAGCAGAGGGAGAAAGGAAGATTTTGATGCAAGATTAGAGCTCTATATCATGGGATTGATGACGACACACATGATGGATGGACATCATCGGCAGCTCCAGCCTGGTCTAGATGGCACGTACATGGTCGGTCCAATCAACAAGCATCGTGAGATGCTGTCCAAGAACGTTGGAAACGTTGGAACGGGCATGGCAGCAGCTTAATCAAATGAGGATTGGCTATTCGTTGCACATGCTGCTGCTTCCCGAACCCGCGGCACTAAATCACGCCCGGAATTGAGGGTGCACTCAAAGACTCACCACCCGATTGTGACTGCCTGACTGTAATTTGTTATGCATTAAGCAGTGCTGGTGCTCGCATGTTGCTTGTTGTGCGCCCAGACGCGTGAAACTCGCACATTGCAGCAGCGACGGGGGGCAACACGGTGCGAAGTGCGCCGCCGTCATGATGCGGCAGCGTGCTGCAGCAGTCGTACAAATAACCGCATCCTTCGGCATCCCAGCACTCACGAGCTATCAGCAGAGGCCGCCGAGCCAAGTTTCATGCCTGCCATGCGTCGACGCCTTCGCTCATGCAAGCATCGGCGTGCAGAGAGTTGCAGCATTCATGTGATTTTCTTTGCCTAGCCAGTTCTCGGCGCAGCAGACCGCATCATTCGATCGCGAGTCCGACCATGCACCAGCACGGCCACAACTTTTGACTCTGACCGTGTATGCGGCTGTCAACTCTCGATGATCAGAGCACCTGCTGCGCAGATCGGCGACGAAAGCTCAAATGAACAGCACAGGTGTTTACAGGGGTGTTGCCCAGGGGGGAGAGGGGAGGTCATTTCCAAAGTTGAGGACTCGGAGCTCTTACTCTTGCTTTGTCTTCCGTTCAAGGCAATTTTGCCGGAAGCATGCGTACAATTCTTGTGAGTGTAAGCGTGGACGGACCCTGATTCTTCTGGATCGTGGCTCTGCTGGGCTCGCTGGGCTGGGCGGAGTGTGCAGCAGTCGTGAGTGCTGCTGCGAGTTTCAACGTCAGCAACGAGTATAGCTCCGCCCGTCGCTTTTGCGCTCGGGACGCTTTACCAGTACCTACTTTAGACGGCGGCAAAAGCGGACACAAAAGCGCGCGCACCGCGAGGTGACAGACATGTCCGCGGCACATCATCGTCATCATGCGGGGCTGTGAATCATGAGTCAGAGTCGTGAGTCAAAGTGTGCATGCGTGATGGTTGCGTGTGACGCGAGGAGCAGACCTGCATGAGCTGACGCGGCAGTCTGAGCTACCTGCGACGACGCGCGTACAGGCGATCTCTCTGCGCGCTACGTGCTTTCCCGCTTTGGCTAGCTTTGCAGTTGCTTACTTGCTACCGAGCTATATAGCACCATGCTTGAGCAACTCTGCTCTCTGATCGTGTCTAGCAAGATCACCCTCGCAGCTCGATTTTTGCGTACATTTATATTCGTGATCAACATTATTAAAGACTTGGACCGTCGTGTTTGATCAGCTGCTGAGCGTACATGTAGATGGTGAGTTGAGCCGCTCAACGCGCGTGGGAAGGCCAGACCCTGCTGCAAACGGCACGATGCTGCCGCAGCCACTTACCCCAATTAAGCAGCAGAATCTTGAATCTCGAAGTGGTTGTGTGTAATCACGAATCACGAATCAAGAATCGAGATGCACCTGGTCTCGGCCATGACGCTTCGTTTGCTTCGATCACGTGAATGCTAGGCACTTGATTTGCTTACTTGCTACTCGAGACCGTAGACTGACCAGCTGATGAGTCATCAGCGCGCGTGCAAATCTCATTTGCGTGGCCAGTCGGCTGCCATCAAAGTCGCTTGGGTCTGGGTCAACGTCAACTGCGACACATGATTCGAATTTGCAACATATCAAATGTGGTGCGCACAACGCGATGGTGAGAGCCTGACTGAGCAAGCACGTAGACTATGCACTTCACCACGACTCACATCTTGCTCATCTTAGCACGCCTGATGAACATGCGTCAACTCGTCTGCTGTACAGTCAGTGAGTCTTGAGCGTCTCTTCGCTCGGGAAGCTGCAAAGCGCGAGCGAGACTCCCCACATCGCCCACTTGCCTGCTTTCCCATATTTCGCTGGGTGATTTTGTGATCGACGCCCCCCGCAAACGGCCTCGATTGCGTCAGCAAGAGAGCCTTATTGCTCGCTATAGTGTGGGCTCGCTGAAGTGTGGGCTTGCTAGGCGCTTTGGACTCTTGCAGCTCGAGCGTGGACCCTGCAGCAAAAAAAGTCAGTCGTAAGCGTCCAGCCAGACAGTCGAATCGTGAGCTTGAGTGCCACGATTGAATCCAGAAAACCCCCGTGCGATACTGCTGACCATCAAAAATCGTCACCTCGAATCAAGAGTGGTCTAAGTGCCATGTACCTCTGGCATGATTTGTGATGGAGTTCAGGCTGATGACCAATGTGTGCATGTCGTCATACTCAACACTGTTCACGATCGTGGCGTTCGCGTCCAAATTCGCACAATCACAAAAGGAGGCGGTCCG